GAAGACTCCCATTGGCCAGAGGAGGCGTATCGGGGCCCAGAAAGGTCGGGGGCAGGGCGCGGTAAAGATAGCCTCCAGTCTGGACATGTTCGGCGAGGGAGAGGCCGTAGCCGGGGCGTTCAGAGCGGCGCCCCTCGCCAAGTCCATCTGGGGCGCAGCCAATTTTCGGCATTCCCGATACCAAACTTCGACGATTGCGCCTGCTGGCGGCGCAGGCAGCTGGCTGAGTTCCACACGGGGCCAGCATCGGCTCCGCCTTTCTGGCGAGTCCGTCGGCTTGGGGGCGAGGCCCACTTGTCGTCAGCGCGGCATTGGCAATGACAGAATTTGAATTGGTTCACGTCGTCTGGGCCAAGTGGGTCAGCCTGGATGTTAGCAAGAGTGGCGGACGCCGAGAAGATCGTTGCGTTGTCGGGGCCTTGGGCGGCGGTCAAGCAGCCCAATGCAGCCTTGGGCCTGGCTCTTCCTTGTATTGTCTGGAAAGTTTATCTCGAGAAGCAGGCTATCATCGACGATCTCAACAAGAGCTGGTCTTTCCACAAATCTCCCCACGCCTTTTTTTGGTCATCCCGCGCGGGCGGGGGCTTTTCGCGTTGTCGGAGGAGGCAAGCCGTACCGACAGAGCTCCTTCAAAAGTTGGATTGGGCAGATTTTTGGGCCACAGTCCATGAGTTGTCATGGCAGGATAACAGTCCTGCATGGCGCGATCATCGGAAGAGCGCGCTGAAGGCCGCGATCGCCCCTGTGCATTGGGTCCAGGGGCGCATCCATTTTCACGCGCGAGATGTCAGCAATCATTGTCAGAACGCCGCGAAGGAGTAGGAACCACCTACCACGAGATAGTCTGCTGTCCTGCCCACCAGATAGTGAGGAGGCGCGTGAACGAACCTGGGCGACTCTCTGAGACGGGCAGCGGAACAGATCACGAACTTCTCGGTCGAAGATCAGCACATGTGTTGTCTGGGATTTTCCTTGGCCCTAGGCGCTTTGCCCATATGCATTCCCGCATTGCGGAGGACCCACATGCGATGTGAATCCACTGGCCCTGAGATGGTCTCATGCTGCAGCCAGACGTTAATGTATGCTTGGACGGTTCTGGTTTTGAGATGGCGTGGCCCTCCCTGAGAGCTGCAGGGTGGGTCATGGTGGCGGGCGGTCGAAGTGCAGAGGTGGCCTCGGCGCTGTGTGGCGCAGTGCCGTTAACTGAAGGACTGGCCATTAATTACTGGGAGTGGCGAAGGTTCCGCGGTCCCCATGATTCCCCGCGATGCAGCGGCGGCGCCGTGGGTCAGCATTCATTTGAAATGTCTAACGGCTGGGCTGTGCGGAGTGATTCGGAGGAGACACTTGCTTAAAATAACAGCGCGCGCATGGGTCGGACATCAGAGGAATCCCGCTCTTCCTGCTACTCGCTCAGAGACGGCAGAATCACGCGCAGAGATCCGCAGGGGATTTGAGAGGCCGTGCCGGACGAGGACCTGCTGCTGGTGGGAGGCTTTCACGAGATGGCAAGCAGGCCGCGCCATCCTGCTCCGACAGCTGAGACCGCAGAGAGTTCGAGTTCATGAGTCACACTTGGCCAGAATCCGTTCCTTGCCCCGCCATCCCGCCCCGTGCTTCCCTGGGGCCCGAGGCTGAGGAGAAGGGCGAGGCGGCGGGCCTGAGAGAAGATGAGTTCGTCCCTGACCCTTGGTCTTGGAATGGGCATGCGTCGCGACGCGGGGGACTTCTGGATGATGGAATGCCGTCGGGCTCGATGATTTCTTTCGCGATGTGCGGGAGCAGTGCTTTCGGTGGGAAAAGAGGAATCACGCGACGAGTCGGCGCGAGCTCCTTGGGCCCTGCAAAGTCAAAACGGTCGCGGGGGCCACGGGCCTTGCCGGGATCTCCAGGGGCCTCCACCCTCTCCCTCAGGGGCAACGATCGCGGGGGCGCCCCTCACTCCCAAGCTCGAAGTCAGTTGTCCATGGCGACGGCGGTCTGACAGCCCTTGCGGCAGAGCACTGGCTGCCCTTCGTCGAGGTCTGCGAGGAAGCGCGCGGCGCCAAGGAGAGGACCGCACCTCAAAAAGGAACCGCCGCCCGTCCGTGAAGCCTTTGCGCAAACTTTGAAAAGCGAATGCAGGCGGCGCTCAGGCGAGAACCACATTTTGGAAAGCACCCGCCTTCCATCCGCGAAGCTCTTGCTGAGTTTAACGACAACTGTGCGCGGCGCTGGAACGAGAGCCATATTTTGAAAACTGCCCGCCCTCCAACCGCGAACATATTGCATACTTGTAAGGCGACAGTGCGCGGCGTGACGGCGGTGACCAGCTTTAGCAGAACGGCCCGCCTTCCATTCGTGAAGATATTGCAAAGTTGGCGCTTCAGGATCAGCAGTGCTGCGGGGTCTCAGACGAAACGCCCGGCCCGCCATACCGTCACGTCTCGGGGTGCAACGGGGAGGGCGCACTTACAAGGAAAAGGTAATGGAGGAGGAGGAGGCGGAGGATGATGAGGAGGAGGAATCAGGGCGGCCATGCTACTGGGTAGGTGGCAGACCCGTTTTCCCGACACCCTGGAGCCCGCCGCCTGCTGGTCGCGCCGCAAGAGGTGTGAGAAGGGGGTCCATCGCCGACCCTAGACATCTGCGAAAACGTTCATTCGCTTGTGTTCGTCTAGTTGTTCTGGCTTGTGCGATGATGTGCAGAAGTCTGTGCAGTGTTTGTGTAGACTTGGAATCGTTTAGTTGCCATTATGTGCCAGTGTTGTGTTGTGTTGTGTTGAGTGCGAATGCGACGCGTGTGTTTGTGTAGTGCTTCGTGTAGGCGTGGGAAAAGAACGTGCCGCCCAGGCGAGCCGCTGCGGTACTCTGTCATGGGCGGAGCTCTTGGCCTTCTGAACCGCAACAACGGCTTCTATTCTGGGGGGCTGGCGCCGCCGTGCCGCCTCAGAGGACGACGGGACGGACTCGACCATGACGAGGACGACCACGACAACGACGTCAACAACAACGACGTAACGGCGTCGACGGCAACGACGAGGGCGACGAGTAAGGCGAAGACGACGAGGACGATGACGTGGAGGGCGAACAACGCAAGCAACTCATCACAGAAGTTCAACACCAGATGGGCGCTGGCCGAGGCCTTCGCTTCAGCTTGTGCCGACTTCCACTGTTACGGGGATGCCGTGGCCGGCGTTCTTGTCGGAGCGCGCTCTGGGCTGGATCTGGGGCCCCAGAGGGGTCTCAAGACCCGTTCGTTTCCCTTGTGCCAACCATCGTCATGGTGACCTCTGGCTGCCTCGCTCGCGCAGTGCACGGCACGAACGAGTGATCGCGGCCGCCTCCGGCCCAGGTGACGGCCAGGAGCACGGGACGCGCCGCCATTCGAACCGTTTGGCTGAGCTGCGGGGGTGCACCACGCGCCACGCCCCTCCGCCGCTCCGAACGGCGGCGACGGCGGCGGCGACGGCGACGCTGTCGGATGCCTACGGAATCCGAAGGATTTCCGATGATTCCCAAGGATTCCTAAGGATGCCTTTTGATCCCCGAGGATTCCTCAGGATTCCTAAGGCTCTCATAGGATTCCTAAGGAGTCCTACGGATTCCGAAATATTCTGATGGATTCCTATGGATTCCTGGGGATTCCCGGGGAGGCCAGGCTTGCTCGAGCGGTTTAAGGCTACCGTGCCAGGTGGGCGTCACCGGCGACGGTGCGCCTGCCACCCGCGCGGGCCGCATGTTGCGTTACGGCCCATCTGGCGCCGTAGCGTATACCACGCACAAGCCCACGCCAGATTTCCCGTGGGGCCGTCGGTGAGGTGGTGTCGTTCGTTGTCTGGTCCAGCACTGTGGCTGGCCAAAAGGAGGTTGATGACCAGGGGACTTCTCTGCGGACTTCATGCTGTCCTACTTCTTATTCCAGTACGCCCCTTGGGCCGAACCCCTGGCCCCCGCGACGCTGCACTTGGGCTGCGCCGCCCTGGGGGGACGCCCTGCCCCTCCCGAGTCCTCCCCCCCGTCGTCCCGAGCCCAGACTTGTGAGGAGGAGGAGGAGGAGGAGGAGGAGGAGGAGGAGGAGGACGTTGGTGTGTCAGTATGTAACATACACGGAGTCTGCGAAGTATCGGGAACATGTGATTCACGTACGAAGTCGAGATGCAGGTTCGAAGGGCTCTGGGTTCAAAGGTACGAGGAACGAGCTGCCCGAAAAACCCAATGCCCAAAAAGGTTACACACATGTACACATTCAACAACTAAGTGTCGGAAACTTTTCAAGCACAGCACGACTCTAACAACTGAGGATGGGTGGCTGATTTATTCACACGTGTCACACGTAGGATGTACAGGCGCATATGTTTCTAAGTTTCATATGTGAATTTCTCATTTCGGATGCGCCTTCATGCATCCCAAACTTATCACATTGCCCACACTGTCTTCACATAGGTTTGCTGATGTGTTTTCGCACTCGCGCTTGCGAATTGCATGTGCTCCACACTCGCACTTCCGATCCGTACCTGTTGAACTCTCGTGCTCCCGATTCGTTCTCTTGTCGAACTCGAGCTTCGAGCCCTTCATTTGCAGCAGGATCGAAGGAATCGAAGGAATCGCCAGGCCGCGCGGTGCAGGAACTCCCAAGTCCAGGCGTCGACGCCCCAGAGCCTCCACCTCCCGCCCCCGCCCCCGCGCGCGCCTCCCCGCAGGTGCCCCCGCGGGCTCCTCCCCGCGGGCCTCCCCCACGGGCCTCCCTGTCGCGGCCGCTTCCGCCCGCCTCCTCCCCCTCCCGCCGCCAGTGCATCCGCGCCCTCCCTTGCCCAGGGCCGCCCGACCGCGCGCGCGGACCGCCTCCCCGTGGCGGCCCCCCCCGCGGCCCTCCCCCCGCCGCCGCCGTTCCGTGGGGCCCTCCCCGCGGGCCTGCCCCGCGGGCCCCTCCGCCCCCCTCTCGGGCCTCCGCCGGCGGGCGGGCCCCCGCGGGCTTCCTGCTGCTCTACGGCGCCGTGGCCTCCCACTTCTCGGGCAAGATGTCGCGGCTGCTGCTCATCTGCGGCCCGGCGCGCCGCTGCCCCCCCGCCATCTCTCCCCCCCGTCGCGAATCGGCGGCGGCGGCGCCGCCGACCTCTCGGCGTGCTTGCCTGGATCTCGGAGGTCCGACTCCGTGCCGATGCTGCCGGGCACGGCCGTTGGTACGGCTTCGACCTCCACCGAGCAAGAGCAGACAGCATGCAGTGAAGGTTTCGGGGCTCCGCGCGTGCTTCTTGGATCGGCGCTGGACCCCCTTGGCGGCGCTGGCCCTGGCGTGCTCCGCATGCCCGAGCGAGGGGGGTCCAGCGCGAATCCGAGAAATCTGTGCGGGCCCCCTCCCAATATTTCTGCTTGTGCAGTTGGTCCGTATTCTCTCGTCTTGCCCCGAGCCTCGGGCTACAGGCAGGGTCGCCAGGGATGACTGGAGTCATCGTGCCTCACCCCGACCCCGGCAAAAAAGCCGGGGGCCGGAGGAAACTATGCAAGTCGGGGTGCGCGCTCGAGGGGATCCGCATTCATCGGGGTCAGACAACGCTTCTGGCTGACATGGGTTTGGGGGCCACGCGGAGCCGATCGATCCTCCCTCTCCGCCTTTGCTGGCCCGGGTCTGGATGCTACGGAGAATCGACCGAGGTTCGGGACCTGATTCACCCGAGTTAGCGCTGACCCGGGCTAGCGAGTTCCCAATCAAGTAGGCGCCTCCTCCTCCTCCTCCTCGTCCTCCTCCTCCTCCTCCGCGCTGCTGGCCTCAACGACGTGAAGGCTGTGAGAGAGCACCTCCTCGGGCGTGATGCCGAGGACGGCGACGATTTCGAGGAGGGGCCCGAATAGCCCCATAAACATTAGAACTCGGCTCCAGGCCGTTCGCTCATGTCGTCTCATCCCCCTTCCTCGCTCCATCCTTCTCCTCCTCACCCGGCCCCGCTCCGTCATCCTCCTCTTCTTCCCCGCTCCATCCTCCTCGTTCGCTTCCTCCTCTTCCTCCTCCTCCTCCCGGTCATCCTGGTCCTCCTCCTGCTCCCCCTCCCCTCCCGCTCATTCTGGTCATCCTTCTCATCCGCCTCGTCCTCCTCCCTGAGGAATGAAAATGCGTGTTGCTTGACGCTCATTCTGCCTTTGTAGGAGGCTGGCGGCTTGCGGAGGCCGCTGGAGGCTTCAGGGTACCCATGAGAACCTCTTGACCCCGCGTCTCCTCTCGAGGCTAGACAAGAGACCGCTTTGTTCTGTTATCCCCTGGCGATGACGGGCGTGACTGGGGGGGGGAGGGCGAGGGGGGGGGAATGTCTAGGGACTGATAGTTCCCAGACGGCGCAGGCGCGAGTCGGGACGTGTCCAGGAGGTGGGGTTGGCCAGTCACGGGCGTTACCACGAACAATCGAAAACGTGTTCCAGCCATCCAAAAAGTGTTCGAAGGCCCGCGCGGATTGCTTGCCCCTGGAGGCGCTTTCGCCGAGATCCAGCCGCTGCATTTTTCACACCCGGCGTCTTCGCTCAGTTTCGGGCCCTGGGGCTATCACAGGTCGATCTGGCTCAAAACATGAAGCAAAAAGATGGTGTCCAGGGCTCCAGTCCTGATTCTTCGCGATGCTACACCATGTTGGAGCATGCCAGGGTCTGGCGTAGCTGGCGGCGCGCTCCTCGCAGCGGGGAAAGGGTGCACGTTCGCAAATTCCCGTACTCGCACCTCAAGGTTCTTGCGTAGGCTCCTGAGGGTAACTGGTTGGGTGTGCCGGGTGTTCGGCTGGTGCCCAGTTGGTGGACTATCCTGGGAGCGCCTCGTGTTGAGTGGATGTGCCGGAGTTTCGCCTGGTGCCCGCCCGTGGGCGCCTCGCGGGGTCCAACCATGCAAGCATAGTAGTTCTTTCTCTGGAAGCGGACAGGGTTGAGGCGCAGTTGGAGGATAATGAGGGGCAGGAGCAGGAGCGGGAGCAGGAGCAGGAGCAGGAGCAGTAGCAGAGAGGGAGGGTCAAGGGGGAGTGGAAGGAGGGGAAGGATAAGGAAGGGCGGAGAGGCAGCAGAGCAGAGGGGGAGAAGCAGGGAGGAGACGGAGGAGAAGTTGGCTAAGGAGGAGCAGGATGAGCATGATGAGCAGGATCACGAACCAGCAGCATAGGGCATGGAGGATGAGAAAGCAGGAGAAGGAGGATAATCAGCAGCAGAGGGCATAGCGATGTTCCCCTTCTCCTCCACCAGTTGCTCGCTCAGTTACTCCGCGGGCACCTCGGCTGTTTTTGTCTACTCTACGAGACGGGTGTATGAGACACACGATGGTGAGCCGACGATGATGATGATTACGACGATGCTGATGATGGTGATGATGCTGATGATGATGAGGCTGATGATACTGATGATCAGGATAATAATCATGCTGTTGATCGTGGTGGTGATGCTGCTGCTGGTGATGATGGTGCTGTTGTTGATGATGCTTATGATCGTGATGCTGATAGTGATGATACTGATGATGGTGATGATACTGACGATGATACACCTGTTGCTGCTGGTGATGATCACGATGTTGATGACTATGATGATGCTGCTGATGATGAGGATGATGGTGGTGATGATGATGATGACGATGCTGATGATGCTGATGATGATGATGATGTTGATGCTGATGATGACGACGCCGATGATGCTGATGATGATGCGAATTACCATGGTGAATATTATGATGCTGCTGATGAGGTTTGTGATGCTGAGTCTGCTGCAGCTGATGCTGGCGATGCTGATGATGATGCTGATGTTTGTAATGATGAATCTGATGATGATGATGGCGATGCTGATGATGATGCTACTTGTGGTGTTGCTACTGATGGTGGCGATGCTGATGCTGCTGATGATGATGCCAACGACGATGATGATGTGATGCTGATGATGATGTGAATGATGAGGAGGATTAGTATGTGGATGAGGATGATGCTGGTGATGATGCTGCTGCTAATTATGATGAGGATGCGGATGACGAGGCAGAGGAGGATGAGGAGGAGAACGATGTTACTGCTGCTGATGATTATGCTACTGATGACAATGATGACGATGATGTTGATGCTGATGTTGGTGCTGATGTTGATGTTGATGCTGATGATGATGATGATGCTGTTGAGGACAGCACAGTAGTTCGCCATGGAGTGCCAACAGTCCACGCGGGTTGGACGGCAAGGGCAAAGAAGTTCGCACGACCACCTCGTTGTCCTCTCTCCGTGCTTGCTGGACGCCAGGGTTCAGCGCTGACCACACAGAGACAGCGCAGGCAGCCACCTAAATTTAGATGACGCTGCATTGCATCCCCGAGCTGCCAGAGCCAGCGCAGTTTCGAAGCCCACCGCACCGCAGGGCCTGGTCTTCAGAGGCATGGGTGCATTGGCACCTGCACGCCGAACGGCCAGGAGCTGCACCGACTCTCGGTGCGGGCCTACGGGTCGGGAGCGTGATTGTCGGGATGGGGGATTATGTATTCTTTGCTTTTGTGCCCACCTCGATGCCCGAAAGGGCACTCCTGCTTTTTGTTCTACCCCTCGCCCATTCTCTCCTTCAGGTCACGCGCTGGCTATTTTGTGGAATCATGGCCACACGCTTTTGCCGGGGAAACCAAGAGATACCCATGCCACAATTCCACTGACCTCGCCTGACAATGGCTCTCCAGGACCAGCAGCGGCATCGTTGTTGTTCTCCTACGAGTTCCAATGGTATTTGCTTCGCCTTGCCGCGTAGAGTTGGGGCGCGACGGCTCTCGCAGGCCCACGCGGGCGCAGCGTCGAAAGGCGGACCCCACTTCGCTCCGATCGATACGATTCGGTATCGGTTGCGGCCAATTTGATCAGATTTAATTTCGACTTCCTGGTTATCCGATGCAGCGCGATGTGCGCATGGCGCTGATGTGCATTGTGGTGCCGCCGATCCGATTCGATACCGACTCCGTGCCGATGCGGTCCGAGTCGATCTGTGTTCCGATCCGACCCGACTTCCCGATTCGATGGTGCCTGCTCCTGGCGTTGGACGGCGGGGCGGGCGGAGGCGAGGCGGAGGCGAGGCGGAGGGCCCTGTCCGAGTGGGAGGCCCTGCCCTCCGCCGCCGCAGGTGTGCTCCGTGGCGTGCGCGATGTGGGCGGGCTCCTCGGGGGCGATCCCGCAGTTTTCGGCCGTCGTCGGTCGTCGGTCGTCGGTCATCGTCGCGCGGTCGTCGTTGTCGTCGTCGTCGTCGTCGTCGTCGTCGTCGTCGTCGTCGTCGTGTTTTGAGTCTCGGGGGCTCGGGGATCGGCGGTTTCCCCCTCCGGCGATAGCGACCCAGGGGGGGCACTCGGACGGAACGCATCAGTCCGCAGCCCCAGCCGCAGCAGCCGCCGTCGGCCCCTCGGCCCCGTGCTGCCGCAGCCGCGGCCGCGGCCGCTTCCTCCCCTGCCTTTTCCCTCCTCCTCGGCGTGGTCCGACAGGGGCCACGGCCCCACGGAGAGACGGCCCCACGGAGAGACGGCCCCCACGGAGAGGAGGGGAGCAAGGGTGTCCGCTGTTCGGTCGGTTCGGTCGGTTCGGCCGCGTCGCAGGCGCTTGCGCCCGGTCCGTTTTCGGGGGTTCGAAGAGGGGGCCCGGAGGAACAGGGTCTTCAGGACGGGCATGGGCGGATGGGAAAGGGCTTCCAGGTTGAAGTTGTCATTGTTCGATGCCCTTCCCTTCTCGCAAGGGCCTCATCTTTTAAGTGCCGAGGGTAGGTGCGGCCAGTCCCTGGCAGAGCTCACCGTGCCTAGATCTGATGAGGAGCTCCTGCTGTCTGATGTTCTGTCATTCGGCTGCGGAGCGCTCGATGACTGCAGGGAGGAGGACGGGCGGGTGTCTGTGCTTGGGGACGGGTCAGGGGGGGTACTCGGACGATTATCGTGTGCGGCGCTGTGGAGCGGATGTTGCCACCGTTCGATTGCGTAGTGATCGCAGTTCCTGGGAGATGAGCTGCATGACGACGGTCTCTGTTTCGCGTTTTTGCAATCGGCCTCGCGGGCCGAAAGCCTGGTATTCAGAAAATCCACCCCGATAATAACCACCCCAACACGCGAAGCCGTATAGTAAACGTATCCAGATAAGAAACCAAACAGGGCAGGACTTTTTAGTACACACCCAGGGCCGTTTAGTAAACGCCAATCCTGGCCCTCGAGTGAACCTCTTGGAACGTGAGGCTCGTCACCGACCACCAGGTCCTGGTCCGAGCTCTGCCCTGGAGGCCCAGACCGCTCCAGAGGGGAGGAGCACCTGTAGAATCGTATCAGGCAGGCGATGCCGAAGCGAGATGAGGGGCGGATGTGGGCTCCCTCCCATGCCGAGGAGGACCGCTATCGGCTCTGCTCGCCCAGAGACGTGCGCCTGGCTGCTGGCGGCGCCGTTGCGGATCTTGGGGCGGGGAGGGCGGCTGCGCGGGCGTGGGAGGCGGGGATGGTGCGCGACGCGGCGCACGGCGACCGCTTGCGATGCAGCGGCGAGCCCAGTTAGAGCCAGGGCTCGCAAGGCGCTCCAGCTTTCGCTCGAAGCCGACTCGAATCGAGCTGACCGGGTTACCACGCAACGGGTCCGGCCCCCTCGCAGTAGCGGGTGGCCATGCCCTCCGGAAAGTCGGCTCGAAGTGGCAATGTAGCGAGTGTCAGCACATTGCACATACCATGTTTCTCATCGAGTTTTGTGATAAGACCTTTTGCGGTGTGCCAGAGCTTCCTCGGCCATGCCGTGTGGCACAGGTGTCGTGTGGGAGTTGAGGCGCATTGCACGGCCTCTTGTCGATGTTCACCCCTCGCAGCCGCATAACAGGGGATGTGGAGTGCATACGATGGTGGGATACATACCCATTGCGCCTCTGCCATGAGTATGGCTGGCATTGTTCTGTGGATGATTGCAATCTGACGCGACCTTGTCTTGTGCAGACCCCCCAGTGGAAGGATGAACTTGGCCAGGATCGCCAGAGGCCTCTACCCGAGACGTGAATTGGCACCTGAGGCGACCCGTGAAGTAGCGTGGCCAGTCGAGAGCCTCAAGAGCTGGGGGCCTGCGAAGCCTCGGTCGGGGCCCCGGGGCTGAGTCCAGGGATCTCGAGGCTTGTGGTGAGGCGAGGTTGGTCTCTGTGTAGCCACCTCCCGCGGCACCAGAGGAGGGGGTCCCAGCTGTGTCACGGTCGGCGTCAGTTCTCGTCCCGAGGCGGCTTTGCGCAATGGGAACGCTTTTTTCGGAATCCGTCCTTGATGTACCCTTTTCCTCCCCCTGTTCCTCCTCCTCCTCCTCCTCCTCCTCCCTCCATCTCCTCCCTCCATCTCTCCGGGAACCGAGTTCGGCCTCCTGCTGGACTTTCTTCTGGAGCCCTTCTTGCTGCTGCTCGGCAAGCCTGGCTACCGTTGGCGCTCGATGCCGGCCGCGAGTCCGGGTCAGGCGCGGAGGGGCGGGCATGATGAGGAGAAGAGAGGGCGGAGGGGAAGGAGGGAGGAGGAGTAGGAGTAGGAGTCAAGTTGGCCAGGTTAAGCGAGTCAGAGGGTCCCATCCCATGACGTAAGGATCAGGTTTGGCACAACCTGATGCTGGGATCGGACCGCGTTCCCACCTGGCGAACGGAAGGCGCTCGCGCGCGGCCACGCTTCCGACGATTTCTGGCGACGGGAATTCTACGCGGGCCAGTCAGGGACGGGAGCGGCAACGCTTCCGACGAGCGCGGCGAAGAGAAGGCTTGCGCGCGCCGACACAGCACTGCCACCTTCACTCACAAGCTGCGCAGCGCCTGGGCGAGGGGTTGGCATTTCGCCATCGCTCGCGTGGCCTCGCTGCCGCTGTCGATGTCGTGCATTTCGGCGGAGAGGAGAGAACGATGTTTTCGTCCGCTCGCGCGTCAAAAACGCGTGCCGCGCGTCAGCGGGAGCCAATTCTCTTGAACATGAGCGCAGCGCTGGGGCGAGATCGACATTTGGATGTTTCGCGCGGGGTGTGCGCCCCGTTCTACTCTGGCTGCTCGTTTGGCAGCGTGGGCGGTGTAATGTCCCTGCTGACAGACCACAGGTCGACTTCGATTTGCTGGGTACAGGTCGGGTAGGAGGATCTTGGCTTTGGCTAGCTATAGGCCAGATAGGTGGCAAAGTGTGAGCGTATATCAACAAGGAATATGCGAGGAGGAGGAGGATGAGGAGGATAGGGAGGGGGAGGAGGAGGAGGACGACGACCAGTGTGAACCCAATACGCATCAACTATTTTGCGACACGCCCTTTCTCGGAGCTCACCCTTCGCAGGTCCCTGAAATAATGTGTCTTCATTCCGGGAAGTGGCTCATTGGAAGACAACCGTCTGGCGTCTGAGTCCACGATCGTGCCAAGACGCCGTTTTTGATTCAGCGCTGCGGATCAACGTGACTGCCGCGTCCTGACAGTATTCCATCGTGCCAGAAGGCATTGTTGCGTCCTGGCAGGTTTACATCGCACCATGGCACACTTCCTGTAACTCCGACCACCCGAATATTTGAAGTTGTTGCAAATTGTAAGACCTATGCGCGCGGCGCTCAGGCGAGAGCCACATTTTGAAAACCATCCACCCTCCATCTGTAAGTCTGCTCCTATCTTTTGAAACGAAAATGCGTGGTCCTCTGATTTGAAAGTTGTGCAATTTTGTAAGGCGATTGTGCGCGGCTCTCCGGCGAGAGCCACATTTTGAAAACCACCTGCCCTCCTTCTGCAACGTTGCTTCGAACTTTTACACGATGAATTCGCGCGGCGTTAAGGCGAGAGCCACATTTTGAGATCGACTCGCCCCACATTTGAAAAAGACGGTTGCAAATTCCAAGCTTCAGGATCACAGATAGCGAGTCAGTCTTAGGGGAACCTTCCGGCCCGCCCTACCAACACGCTTGGGGTTGCGACAGGGAGGAGTTCTTTCTCGAAGACGCATACGGCGAAATTACCGCCGCCTCGTGCCTTTTTGGAAGCGCATATGTGGCCGAAAGTTGGGCTAGAACTATCGGACCATGTGTTCCCCCAGCTGTCATTGAAACCTTTCGGAGAACACGTGAGGAAGTGGAGAATGTGGAGAAGAAGAAAACAGGAGTAGGAAGAGGAGTAGGAAGAGGAGGAGGAAGAGGAGAGGAAGAGGAGTTGGGCCGTCTTGGGGGCCCTCTTGGAGGCCTTTGGGCCGTCTTGGGGCGGTCTTGGGGGCCTCTTGGGCTGTTTTGGAGCGTCGAAAGCTCGACACGTCGAGAAACCCCCAGACATTGAAACACGTAAGGGAAACCACTATTAGCCAGCGTGAACCCCAAACAGTGTGTGGCAATATATGCTGTGCAGCATCTGTGGAGCAATCTACGTGGACAAACGGTGTTGTTGTGCAATATATAATTTGCGATCTATGTTGTGCAATCGGTGTGGTGAAATCTATATGGTACACTTTAAGCGATGCAATGTAAGGCATCAATGCACACCGATTCGACACAATGCAACGCAAGACCAAGCAATGCGAAGCAACGCACAGCCATGCAACGCAATGCACCGCAACGCAACGCAAACACAACGCACAGCAATGCGATGCAAAGCACCGACGCATCGCACAGCAACGACACGCAAGGCAAAGCAACGCAATGCAAAGCAATGCAATGCAAAGCAAGTCAAAACAGCGCAATGCAATGACGAAGCGGCGACGGGGCGGCGATGTCGAGCAAGGAGCCGCCAGACAGGCACGCAGGCCCAGACGACGGGCGACGACGGGGCGGCGTCGGCGAGCACGGAGCCGGCAGACAGGCTTGCTGGCCCAGACGACGGGCGGCGACGGGGCGGCGACGGCGAACACGGAGCCGCCAGACAGGCCCGCAGGCCCAGGTCCTTAGAAGAGAAGCGACAACCTCTAGGTGCAAGCACTGTTTGGAGAATGATTTTGGCCTCTCGGTGCCCCTCTCAGGTAGGTCCTTGGGGCCTCGCGAAGGCTTCTTGGGTCATATTCGAGCCACCTTGAGCGTCTTGGACGGATTGTGCGGCGATTCGGGGCCCTCCTGGACCGTCTTGGGGGCCTCGACCCTCCTGGCCTGTCTTGGGGCCCCCTGGGCCCGAGCAGCTCACGCGGGAAGACACCCCGGGATGCACGCGCCGAGCCCAAGAAGATTTGAGAATTCTGAGGTCCGGGCCCTTTTGAAATATTCTTCGGTGTTGAGGACTGACGCTCAAGGGTTGAGCGAGGGACCAGGGGACTCTCCACTTCGTGCAGCATGGGCACCGTGGCAGAGTAGGACAAAGGATGGAGGAAGAGCAGGAGGAGGAGGAGAAGGAGACAGGACGAGGGAGCAAGGACGAGGAGGAGGAGGGAGTCGTTGTGGCTGTGGCTGCCTCGGCCGTCAGTGTCCCGCCGCGGCCCGCGCGGCCGCTGTCTTCCCCGCCCGTCCTGAAGCACCAAGGAGACAAGAGGGAACAAGGAGGGAGGAGGGGGACCCCCCTCCGAATTTTGGCGATACCGCGACGAAGCAGTAGCCCATCACTCCTCCTCCTCCTTCTCTTCCTCCTTCTCCTCCTCCACTTCCTCCTGCTCCTCCTCTTCCTCCGCATCCTCCTCCTCGTGTTCATCCTCCTCCTCCCCATCCTCCTCGTCTTCGTCCTCCTCATCCTCCTCCTCCTCGGAGGTCTCGGAGGGGGACGGGTCAGTGTGGTGAGTGGTGGGACACTGCAGCAGGCAGTTTGCCTCGGTCGAGCAGTGTATGAGTGCTTGATGCAGATGCCGTCGGCGAGCCTGGCCAGCAAGATGCACTTCAGGGGCAACGTTAGGGGAGCATGGGCTCAGGGAAGGATGGATTCATAGCCCACCCCGCCCAGGAACGAGTGGTTTCGCTGTCGGGGGCCGTCGACCTATCGGCAATATATCGCCGACTCCAAGTCGATGTTCCCCACCAGGGGCGGGTCCCCCCACTAACGTTCCCCCCCAGCATTGGGCCACGCCGCTTTGCGCTCCTCACCTCTGCTGCTCCCCCGGCGCCGCTGCATGGGAGTACAGGTATTGCCTCCGGATGCTGGCGCAGCTGCTGGCCGCGGCGCGGAGAAGCAGAAGCAGAGGCAGACCAAGAAGAAGCCGGCCGAAGGCCCTCCAGCTCGAAGAAGACAATTCCATGAGCATATGGTTGCTGAGATCTGCGTGATCTGCGCGGGGGTTCAGCTCAGATTCAGGAAATCTGCGCGGACCTCCGAGAGGTATGTTTGTGCCGAGTTCCCTTCATCATATCACCCTCCTCCTCGCCGTGCTCGCTGCATCCTGTCGAGGTTCGGGTGCACTTCCTTGGAGGCTCAATTCAGCATCGACGCTGGTAACCCTTGGTCGAAGTCCGGCCTAATCCTGCTCAATCGGGTTTTCTTCTCGGCTTACTCTGGCCTGGTCCGGCTTCATGGCCGGTCCTCGTTCCCACGAGGGCCTCCCAGGAGTTGCCTCCGAGTCGAGGGGCGGCGACGCTCCCCGCTCCCCACAGCTGCTCCGCTGCGATGCTCGTGCGGGCGGGCCTGCGAGTCTCACGCTGAGCCGATCGGAGGTGGAGCTCGACGTTGCGTGCAGACCTGACTCGTATGGCGCTCTCGAGCCCGTGCCTTTTTTCAGTGGCTCTGTCTAGCGTTCGGCCTCGGGGGCCTCTGCAGGACAGCGCTTGACAGAAATGGCTACGGCATGAAGTCCGCGAGTGTACACGTGGCACACTACTCAATGCAATGTTGTGCGATAGGCGAGTAGTCACACATGCAAATGCTCGGGTCCTTCGGAGCCCGATTCCTACGGGTGGAGTCCAATGGAGTCTTGTGGAGGCCGACTGCGTCCTACGGAGTCCAATGGAGTGTTCCCAGTCAGTGGTAGTTTGACTTTCCCTATTTTTGGTCCACGCCGAGAGTCGATGTCGGAGAGTCCAGGGGCCCGAAACGCCCCCCCCCCCCCCCATCCCCCTCCGCCCAGGAATCCGAAGTAGAGGGAAGACAGTGAGTAGAGGGAAGACAGTGACTAAGACATCGGGCGCGATTGTGTGGCGATCCTTTGTTCTCGTCCTTACTGTGCTGCGGGGGAGGCAGCCCCCCTCCCCGGCGCCCTGGAGTCTCCCGCATTTGTGTCGTGCAGTCCAGCCGCTGATGGAATGAGGGGCTATGCTCTGGCTTGCGCCGTCCCACCAGAAAACGGGATCGCCGAGCCACAACAACGGGATCTGAGGAGTGCCGACGGGATCGCCGAGCCATAAAGACCAATAATCCGGGTATTCAAGCCAATGGTCACTGGCCCTCCTGTCCTTGGGAGGAAACGAAGGAGGGAGGTGGACAAGCGAGCGGGAGCAAGGCGAGGGTCAGAGCGGCAGGGCCACTTCAATCGATTCACGGGGGGGGTGGAGGAGATGGAGGAGGAGGAGGAGGAGGAGGAGGAGGAGGAGGAGGAGGAGGAGGAGGAGGAGGAGGAGGAGGAGGAGGAGGAGGAGGAGGGGGAGGAGGTTGACTACGCTCATTCTTGCTATTCCTCCCCATCCTGCTTTCACTGCTGCTATTCTCGCTCCTTCCTCCCATCATTATCATCCGCCTCGTCCCTGTGCTCATCATCTCCCGACTGCGTCCCCTCGAAATTCCTACTCCTACACATTCCTCCTCATCACCTTGCACGGCGACCGCCTCGTCCTCTTGTTCCCTCCTCCTGACATGCCCCGCTCGGTCGGGAGGCGGCTAGTAGAGTTCGGAAGCTGGGGGGAAGACGAAGCCGAGCTTTTTCCCGCGGCCTCTTCCCCTCCCCCGAGAAATCCTTTGGCCGACCCGAGGCTTCTGAGGAACACTGGGTTCGGTTCGTCGGGCCTGGATGGCTCTGGAGAGGGCCCACTGTTTGTAGACGGCTCGGTCTTCGGCAGTGAGCGCGGCTCCTGCAGGCGAGCGGCGAGCGTCATGGCCAGTTGTCCAAGTGGACCAAGGGGCAAACTTCGCTGGCTGCAAGTGTAGGTGGTGCCGAGGTCGTGTGGCCCGAGCGGTGGGCGCGGGATGGAGAAGATTACGCGTGCCACATGTGTGTGCGGTTCTTCGACCCCCCCCCGCAGAGTGCAATGACGTCGTTGCCCTTGAAGTTTACAGTGATCGTGTTGGCTCTGTAAGTTGTGTGCATAACTCGTCGAAGGCCTTGGACCCCCCGAGTGAGCTTCGCCACACCTGGAGGCTCTGGTGGGACAACGGTGAGGCCGCTTCTCCTATGTACAGGGCCAGGGCTCTCAGGAGCGTCTCCGAGGCCACGCCCGGAGAGGATCTTTGGGCGCTTCGGGGGAACCATTTTGTCGACAATTGGGCCAACGCAGGGGCCAACCGTTGGGAGGTCCCTGAGGATCAGGAACCGGTTGTAGAGGCTTGCGAGCGCAGGGCAGAAGACGTTGCCCTGTGGCTCGGCGGGCTGCGTGAGCGGTTGCAAGAGCCAGGCTGCCAAGCCTCAGACGGGGTTGGAGGCACGGCGGGTTCTGTGCTCGTCCTTGAATTGGACGCCTCCCAGCTGGAACCCGAGGAGGAGGTTCAGGCCTGGGAGAGTCGGGGAGCAGACACAAACATGATATACAAACTGGGAGGACCGCGCAGATTTATCGGATCGGCGCTGGACCCCCCCTCCCTGGCGCGCGGAGCGCGCCAGGCGCGGCGCCTCTGGCGCCCTGGGGGGCCCAAGCGCCGATCCGAGGAACCCGCGCGGACCTCAGAGTTTTTCATGTTCATATCATTGTTTGCTCTCCTAGGGGAAGCACTGCGAACGCAGAGCGGCCTCAGATCTCGCACATCGCCCTCACACCCGAGCTGTGCCCCGGAGGAGGGCCTGCCGCAGCTCCCGTGGCGGAACCGCTGCTGGGAGCGCCTCTTCCTCTTCTCCTCCTCCTCCTCCTCCTCCTCCTCCTCCTCCTCCTCCTCCTATGCCGCCTCCAGCCATGGCTTTGTCAGGGGCGCGAGGTCGTGCAGGCGTCTAAGAACCGCCTGTTTTGGTTTGCACGGGCTGTGGCGCCAGCTCACAGAAAAGTGGTGGGCTTGGGTCAGGTGTTGCAGCGGTTTTTAAGGGGGATGCCCATCTTGGGCTAGCCACTCAAAGGAGCAGGCTTCGAAGAGGCCTGCGTCCACATTTGACGCTGTCCCCACCCCCCAAGCTCGAGTCGGTCGTTACTTCGTCGGTGGACGTTCGGGCCTTGAGGGTGGGGAAATTGCGTTTGTCTTCAAGTTCGGGTCCTCGGGCCGACGGAGATTCTTACGGCCTCGATGTATAGGGTGGCTGCGTCGCATGGTTTCCTAGATCCGATGATTGCGGTGTTTCGGCGCCGCTCGGAGCGGAGCAGGGAGGCCAGTCTGGAGCAGGCCCTCGGGGACCCTGGGTCCCCCCTCAGTGCAACTTCAGCCTTCAAATTCCGCTCTTCAGATTTCGCAGGACGCGAGGGAGCGTCGCTCCATGTTCTATTTCAGCATAGTTCAGTCTGCTCCCTCCTCGTCCTCCGTGCGTATCTTGTGCCTCCTCCTGCTACTCTCTCCTTCGGTTTCTTCCCGTGCTGCCCGTCCACTTCCTGCTCCTGACGACGACGACGAGCTCTTCCGTTGTGTGTTCCTTCTTCTCCCTTTCTGCCCCCCCGCTCCCATGTCATCCTCCTCCCCACCCTCCTCAAGCGCTCTTTCTCGTCGCATCCTCCTCGCCCGCCTCCTCTTCGCGACGACGACGACTTCATCGTGATTATCCTGCTGGATCTCTTATGCCCGTGTTCCCTCTTTCTCCGACTCATCCCCCCGGGCCTCGTCGGGCCCCTCGGCGTGCCGCCTCTGCTAAGCCGCACCGAGGGGTGACAAAAGATGATGGCCCCCCTTGCGGGACTGTTCCGCTCGCCTTACTTGGCAGTGAGGTCCTTTTGGATGGCTTGACGCCGCTCCTGGGCACTCTTTTGTTTTGATGCCGCTGCGCCTTCCTTCCTTGGATCTTGCATCTCGGCCTGCGTCCCTGGGTCCCCGCATCCTCCGCTTCCATTTCCCCTCCTACACTTCGGTTGCCCCTCACGAAGACGGCAACATCCGCTTCCTTCTCCTCATCGTGTTGTTCCTGTTGCCCACGCTTGATTTCTTCCTGCTCCTCCTCATACTCATCCCCTTATCCCTCCATGCTCCCCACGACGACGACATCCCCACCCCCATTCCTTTTCCTCCTCTTTCTGCGCCTCCTCCTCCTTCTGTCCCTCCTCCATTACCACTCAACCCATCCTCCTCCTCCTCCTCATCCTCCCCATACTGTCACTCCTGCTCGTCCTGCTCCCCCTACTATTTATCCAGGTTCGCCTCCTAATGACGACGAGGATGATATGTGCATGTTTTTCTTCATGCTCGTCCTCTTCCTCCCCGCCCTAATCCATCTCGTCATCTGCCTCGCCCCCGTGCTTCTCCTCCATTATCCGGGACCTTCGCATCCCCATCCAAATTGCGACGACACGATCTCATCATCATCTTTATCATCATGCTGGGCTTCCCTCCCCAGTTTCTCTATGTTGATTATTCCTTCTCCTCCCCCTTCCGTTTTCTCGTCATCCAGTTCATGTGCACGACCATCTCCTCGTTTTATGTTTGTTCCTCCTTTCTCCCACTCTCTTTCCTCTTGTCCCCGGTTCCTCCTCATCATCCTTCTCCTCACGACGACGGGACACTCCTCTTATTGCTCCTGCTCCTCCCCTTTTATCCTCCTGTTGATCATTCCCCGCTCCTGCTCCTGTTCCCCTTCCCCCGCTGCCGCCACCTTTACCTTGCCGCGACGACGACAACCTCGTCCTCCTCCTGCTCCTCTTCCTTTCTCCTCTTCCTCCTCCTCCTATTCACTATCCCTTCATCTTCCTCTCGACGACGAGGGCAACGACCTACCGTTCCTTTCCTTATTCCCTCTCCCTTCTCCTTCCCATCACCTCCTCATCCTTCCCCCTCCCTCCCCTGCTCGTCCTCGACCTCTTCTTCCTCGTGAGTTAGGGCGCGGCGCCCTTCCCGAAGTGATGTCGCCTCCTCGGCGCCGCTGGGCGCCTGCCAGGGCCTTCCAGGGTGCTTTCCCGATTTTCCGGCGGACCTGATTTACTGGCGGACCCAGAATCCAAGCTTGGAAAAAGCGCGGTCATTAAATCCAATCAAGCCGCGCCAGTAATTCAGATGTTGTTGTTTACATATACTCTTTTCTGGCGGGGTTAGTTACGCGGGTTTTCCCAGCAGACCTGGAATCCAAGCCCGGAAAACGGCATTCCAAATATTTCTGGGACGCACGAAAGGTTTTGGGGCCTCATCGAATACTTCAGGGCCCAAAACATTTGGGAGAGGGGCCGGAGGGAGGTGGAGGGGAAGGGGGGTGGGACAAGGAGGAGCAGTAGAAGGGGTGGGTGGGCCACGATGAGGATCACGAAGCAGGAACAATAGGAGCAGCAGGTAGGAGAAGGAGAAAGGGGGTGGAATGGGAGGAGGAGGGGGAGGAGAAGGACGAGGAGGACGAGGAGGACCATCCATTGTTCATCCTCAGTTCGATTTTGATTCATCCTCATGCTCTTCGTTTTTCTCTGCGCCCTTCCTCTCCTGCTCGCTATTCGCCTTATCTTCCCCCTGGCCCTCATCCTCCTCGCGTCGACGACGCCGACGACGACCTCCTCTGACTATTCCCCCTCCTGCTCCCAATCCGTTTTCCGCATCAAAGACTTCACCTCCGCCTCCCGCTCCTTCCCACCGTCTTTTCCCGAAGGAGGATCGGAGGGCCAAGAGGAGCACGAGGGAAGACCGAGGTTGAGCACGAGGAGGACGACGAATCTAATGCCGTCGCGTCGTGGTCGTCGCCGCCCTGAGGAGGAGACCGAGGGGGGCAGAGGACAGGATGGTGACGAACGATTGGGAGGAGGATGGAGGACGAGGAGGGCTACGACGACGACGAGCAGGGGGATTTCGAAGAGACGGAGGAGGAGGAAGAGGAGGAGGAGGAGGTGAAGAAGGAGGAGGAGGAGGGACATGGTGAGAAGCAGGAAGTCGTCGTCGTCGTCGCGATGAGGATGACGAGGATGATCAGGCGGATGGTGGAGGAAGACTGGAAGTAGGCGGAGGAGCAGGAGGAGGAGACGGGTGGAGGAGGAGGAGGAGGAGGAGGAGAAGGAGGAGGAGGAGGAGAAGGAGGAGGAGGAGGAGAAGGAGGCAGGAGGAGGAGGACAAGAAGGAGGAAGAGAAGGAGGGGGAGGAGGAGGAGTAGGAGGAGGAGGAAGATGAGGAGGAGGAGGATGTCTTCGTCGTGAGGATGGGACGGGACAGGAGAAGGTGCGTGGAGCAAGGTGGAGATTAATAGCAGAAGATGGAGGCGGAGGAGGAGGAGGTGGAGGAGGAGGAAGAGGACGACAGGACGAGGAGGGCGAGCACGGATAATGCTGAGTATCGTTGTCTTGGGGAGGAGGGGGATGAGGAGGATGATGGGAAGGAGGAGAGCATGTTGATGGAGGGGGGCGACAGGACGAGGGGGAGAAGGAAGTCACGGAGGAGGGAGGAGGGAGTAGGAACATGAGGAAGATAAGGAGGAGAGGAGGATGAGGAGGAGGAGGACGACGCGCATGAACAGGAGGAGCAGGAGGAGGTTGAGGAAGCCCATGCCGTCGGCAGGAGGAGCAGGAGGATGAGGCCCGGGAGGATGGGGCTAGGGGAGGCGCAGGAGGATGAGGATGGATGGTGGCATGGAAGAGGATGCGGAGGAGGAGGATGAGGAGGAGAAGAAGACGGAGAGGAAGAGGAGGAGTAGGAGGAGGAGGAGGAGGAGGAGGAGAGGGAAGAGGAGGAACAGGAGTATGAGGAGGAGGAGAAGGAGGAGGAAGAGGAGGAGGACTGTGACGATGGTAATCGTGGTGGTGATGGTGATGGTGATGCTGGTGGAAGAAGAGGACGGAGGATGGGGGAGGACGAGGAGAAGGGGGGGCGGAGAGGTGGACGAGGAGGATGAGGATGAGGAGGGGGATGATGATGATGCTGCTGATGGTGATGATGATGCTGATGATGATGCTGCTGATGATGAGTCGGATTATGATGAAGACGATGTCGATGGTGATGATAAGGAGGAGGATGATACTGATGCTGATGGCGATGCTGATGCTGATGATGATGCCGATGCTGCTATTGTTGAGGTTGATGATGCTGATGCTGATGATGAGGATGATGCCGAAAACAATGATGATTATTCATGATGATGCTGCTGCTGCTGATGATGATGATGATGATGATGACGATGATGCTGGTGATGATGAGGAGGATGATGAGGAAGAGGAGGAGGAGGAGGAGGAGCAGGAGCAGGAGGACGGGGAGAAGGAGGAGGAACATGCGCAGGACGAATGGGAGGAGGGGGAGGAGGAGGAGGAGGAGGAGGAGGAGGAGGAGGAGCAGGAGCAGGAGGACTGTGATGATGGTAAGTGTGATGGTGATGGTGATGGTGATGGTGATGATGGCGGAGGAGAGGAGGAGGGGGAGAAGGAGGAGGAGGAGGAGGAGGAGGAGGAGGAGGAGGAGGGGAGGAGGATGGAGGATGGGGGGCACGAGGAGGAGGGGGACGAAGAGGTGGAAGAGGAGGAGGATGCGGAGGAGGGAGAGACTGAGGAGGAGGAGGAGGAGGCGGAGGAGGTTGAATAACATGTCGAGTGGGACCAGAAGGACGACGACCTGGGGCCACGAGTGCGGGGGGGCCCGCCAGAAGGCACAGCCGCGCCGTCCGCCGCGCCAGCCGCCGCCGGGGCCTCCGCGGCTTCCGAGCTCGCCGAGTGGGAGGCGCCCCGATCAAGTTGTGGCAGTCAAGCCGCAGACGCAACGTCTGCCACTGTTGGGCTATCGTTTCGTCCTTTGCGGTATTCGTCAGAGCTGTATTCGGCGCTGCAGAAGGGGCCTCGCCTTCGAGGATCGAAGGAGTTAGTATCTCTTCCTCGGTGGAAGGCGGCGGAAGGCCAGCGGAAGATGGCGGAAGTAGACCGAGGCCGCTTCCGCTGACGGAAGCCGACGGAAGGCGGCGGAAGTAGGCAGTAAAAGATGCGCCCCCAAGAGATGGTAGCATTTTTGGGTGGAGGTCGAGTGGAACCCGCCACATTGATTACTCCTCCATGCCTCCTCCTCCTCCTCCTCCTCATCCTCCTCCGTCCTCCACCTGTCCTCCTTCTCCTCTTCCGTCCTCTTCCTCCTCCACGCCTGCATCAATCAGGCAGGGCACCTGCTAGGCGGGTGGCGGGCGGGGTGGCTCCGCCGCCGAGTCTGCCTGAGCGTCTCCCTCCTTGGGCTTCGAGGGGGGGGGGGCTCGGAGAGGCCAGGGCCGCTTTCGGCCCGATCGACCTGGTCATGTTTCGGGCTGGGCGTCCAGGTCTCCTCCGTATTCTCTTCGTCTTCCTTTTCCATTCCTTTGCCTTGCACATGATTCCTGGCGTTTCGCCTCAGACCTCCTACCACGTATGATTTTGACGCTTTATACATGCACATGTTCACGGATGTAGGATGAGTCTTTTTCAAATGAGTATTTCGTCCTAGCACCGCGCATATTCGTCATACAAGTTCGCAGGGGTTTCACGGATGAAAGGCGGCTCGTTTTCAAAATGTCGGTCTGGCCCCAGCGTTGCGCACAATCGTTGTACAAGTTCGCACGAGTTTTAAGGACGGCGGGTCTTTTCCAGAATGTGGATTTGGCTCCTGCACCGCGCACATTCTTCTCGAGTTCGCGAGAGTTTCACGAATGAAAGGCGGCTCGTTTTCAAAATGTGGTTCTCGCCAGAGCGCCGCGCACATTCGCCTTGAAAGCTTACAACAGCAAGTTCACGGATGGAGGGCGACTCGATTTCAGAAAGTGGTTCTCGCCGCAGTGCAGCGCACATTCGCTTTAAGAGTTTGCGAGGTCTTCGCGGATGGAGGGCGGAATGTTTTCACAATGTGATTCTCGCATGAGCGCCGCCCGCATTCTCTTCAAGAGTTTGCAGGAGCTTGACGGATGGAGGGCGGGTCTTTTTTACAATGTGGTTCTCTCGCTAGTGCCGCGCGCATTCGCTGGAACAGTTCGCAAGAATTCTACGGATGGAGGGCGGTCGTTTTTCAATGTGTGGCTCTCGCTTGTGCGCTGCGCACACTCGCCTTGAGAGCTTGCAAGAGTTTCACGAACAGAAGGTGCGTCGTTTTCAACATGTGGCTTTCGCCTGATCGCCGCGCGCATTCGCTTGAAAAGCTCGCGCAAGAGTTTTCCGGATGGAGGGCGGTCGCTTTTCAACATGTGGCTCTCGCCAAGGCGCCGCGCACATTCGCCTCAAGAATGTGTAAGGTCAGCATCCAAGAAATGATGTTCCAGGACGATTTCGGATTTTCAGGGCGCAGCGGATATGCTGATTCGCAGTGTTGATGTCCCAGGAAGTGCGTTCTGGCGCGATGCAGGATCGCCAGGATTTAGCAGTAAAGTTGATTCGCGGCGTTGAAGTCCAAGCGTAGTATTTTTGCACGATGGAGGGTTCTCAAGCGGTTGTCTTCCAACGGGGTATTTCGAGCAGTGAAATCTCTGATCGTAGTGACTTGTGAAGGGTGAGCTTGGAGGGAGGGTTTATTGCAACATAGCTGATGCGCCGTGGGTTTGCACTTGTCCCCCTCCTCCTACCCTGTCAGCTCTGGCCCACAGGTGGCCGAAGGGAGCCCGGAGGGCGCGGTGATGTTGATTTCTTCGTCACCGCGCCTGCGCTTCTGCCGCCTGGATCCAGGGGCCTCCGCACGGCTTCTTATCTCCAGCGCACGGGCCCTTTCCTCGAGGTTCCAGGCAGTCCAGGCTGGTGGCCTCCACAGGCCAGCCGAGTTGCCCTGGGCGGTCTCAACACCTTGGCGCCCCCTCTGGCGGCGCCCCTGGGCTGGGGCGCTCCGCGCCCCAGGCTTGGGGTGCTGAGACCGCCCTGGACTTTTCGGGCGGCCTGATGAGGCCAGCCAGGACTACCTGGGAGAGGGGTTGTCGGCACGCGGCCTCAAGCCTTGTCAGGACGATTCGCGAGCCGATCTGTCGATTCCGCCTGGCCCGGCCCGCTTCGACTCCCAGGATTCTGGCGCGGCCTGGTGCTCGCATGGCGCTGTTGTGTATCCTGGCGCGGCCGATCCGATTTGGTTTCGATTCCATGTTGACGCAGCCCCATCCGACACATTTCGGGTCGATCCGACTTCCGTATTCGATGCTGACGCATCTTGTTTGGACGCCACTTCCCAACGGTATCCGTGAAGTGCCTGCGGGCAAGGAGGATCCTACGTATTTCAGGAAGGAGAGCGTTTCCGGGGGATCTGGGCGTCCAAGGTCGTGGGAAGATCTGAACGACAGTGTTCCCCCACCTGCGGCCTCTGGTGGCCGTTTGTTTCTCGGCCCTGGGACCGTGAACAGAAGACACATAATCGACGCAAAACAACGGGTCGTCGTCGCCGACATTGGCGCGTAAGCTGCCCGCGTAAGCTTGCGCGCGGAAGCGCCTTCGTCTCCACTGCAGCGTGCTGCGCCAGCGGACCGCGTAAGCCACCCTGCCATCTCGCGCAAGACCCGTTGTTGTCTCCTTGCTCACGTGCATGTCCTGAGGCAGCATCGACAGGCGGATGCTTGCTGCGCGTGGCTGAACGGGCACGCGGCCGCGGCACGGCACGCGCACGGCACCCGCCACGGCACGGCGCACGGGCGGCACGCCCCTCGCCTTCGGGGAACGCGGGCGCGGCACGCGCACGGCTCGGGCACGCGCATGGCACGCGGGCACCCGACCCGTTGCCCACGCGGCCTGCGGCCGTTGTTCGGTCGAGCTCGGGCCCGCCAGGACCCGGCCCGCCGCCCGGTGCCCGCGGACGGCTCGTGTGCACCGTGCCGCGCTGGCGTCCAACGAGGTACCGTCAACCTCGACCTCCTCCTCCTCGTGGTCCTCATCCTCCTGCTCCTGCCCCTCCTTCTCCTCCTCCTTCTCGATCCTCCTCACCTCGACCCTCCTCCTCCTCCTCGACCCTCCTCCTCCTCCTCCTCCTCCTCGACCCTACTCCTCCTCGACCCTCCTCCTCCTCGACCCTCCTCCTCCTCCTCCTCCTCCGCCTCCTCCTCCTCCTCGACCCTCGACCTTCGAGTGGTACGGTGCAGGGTGTTTCGGCCCATCAGGTCTGAGGGGCCGAAGGACTGCGCTCCGTGCCGCGTCGGAGCGGGGCTTGACGGGAGCCCAACCATGGTGTAGGGTGGTCCAGGGTCCATTGTCGAATACAATCCCGATCCAGCATGTTTCCGGCCAGTTCGGGCCAACCTCGCCGAGTTCCATTCATTCTAGCTGAATCCCGTGCGCGATCTAGGCTAATCAGGCTCAACGGCCCCTTCATCGGGCTTGGCTTCATAGCCCTTCATATTTCTTACGAAGACCGCCTCGAAGTTATCTGCTAACATGTTATGGAGCTTTGGCGCTGTTCCCGTATTGGTGGCCCCCGCAGGGTTCCTTCGATCCAACCGACCAGAGTCGACGTCTATTTTGGTCTGCCCGGTCCGATTCGATTCCAAGATTCCGACGATCCGATGCGGCCCGATGTTTGCATCGCGCTGTGCATCGCGCTGTCGTGCGTCCCGGCGCAGCCGATCCAATCCGATTCCGACTCCGTGCCGATGCAGCCTGGTCCGACGAAGCTTTGGATTCGATCCCATTTCCCGATCCGATGCTGACAGATCCAGCCTTCTCGGCCAGACTGCTCAGATCAGGCGGACACGGGCCCGGATGTCGCCAGGGAGCACACGTGGACACCAGGGAGCGGCCGGGGGGGGGGGGGGGGGCAGCTGCTCGGCGGCGCGGGCGGGACTCGATTTCGCGCATGGCTATGTCCGCCTGGCGCTCGATCCCTTCCCTGAGATCCGACGTAGCGAACAAATTGCAACACCGTCACAAATCGCGCCCAGAGCCCTGGACCCCATCTTGCATCATCTGTCGAGCCGGATCGATCTGCGAGGGTCCCCGGCCCCCAACACACGGCGAAACCGCCCGGCTCGAAAACATTGAGCTCATGCCAGGATCTCAGGGTTGCCAGGCGACCGACCAGCCCGATTCCATGCTGAGCGGCCCCCACCCCGCGCAGGAGGAGCTCCGTCCAGGCGGCGCGGCGGCGCTGCGGCGGCTCGCGAGGGAGCGGTGTGCCTCGCTGCTGCCCGCAGGCGCCGCCCGCCAGTACGCAGAGGCGCGCCGCCGCCGCCGCCCCCCTGCGGCTGCCGTGCGGCACCCTTTAGCGGCACGCCACGTCCTCGTCCTCGTCCTTCTCGTCGTCGTTCTCCGCCTCCGCCTCTCAGAGAAGGAGAAAGTCCGCATACCCGTACTTTGCCTCGTTTCCGCCTCTTGGGCCTGTGAGGCCCTCGCGCCACCGCTGGATTCGCCTCGAAGTCGTGGTCAGAACGCACGCCAGTAGAGGTCTGGGGAGAAGCGGTATCGGTACCTTTTGGTTTCCCCATTCTTGCCGTCGTCCTCCGCCTCCGCCTAAAGGCTGCCGCGTCGGAGTGGCGGGCCCTCCTGTCGACGATTCCTGCGCCTCTTGGCCTCGAAGCTAGGCCTTGGAGTGGTGCTTGCTTGAACTTGGGCCTGACCATGCCGTCGAGCGTGTCGCGGTCAACCTCATTCGAAGCCTCGCGCTATTTGGGTTCTCCTCGTCCTTCTCATCGTCGTCCTCCGCCTCCGCCTCCGCCTCCGCCTCCGCGCTACCTCCGACGGTCCGATGCGGCCCGAGATGCTTGCATGGCGCTGTTGTGCATCCTGACGCGGCCGATCGGGTTACCATATGTCCTCGACCTGTGACCGTTTTGATCATGGGGCATGTCTCCTTATCCACGTCCCGTACCCCTTTGACCACTGATCAAAAGTGCCGTCAACAGAGATGACAAGCACATTGAGTAAGAACTGCTTTGCCAGTGCGTTCTGGCAGGAGATACTTTCAGGTTGCCCAGTTCCTTTCTCTCCCTCCTCCCCTGTCCCCTTCTCCCCTTCCTGCTATCCCACCAATCCGCGAACTTTCACTGCATATGTTTGGCTCGCGCGCAGTTGTCTCTGCCCACGCGTTTATGGCGTATGGCTGTTCGTCCGTTCGTTCTCTCTGTATCGTATTAGATGTTGATCATTCGCATTCGCATCCGAAGCGAAGGATGACTGGTGATCGAGAAGGAGGATAGTGGAGGAGGATCGAGGATCGAAATTAACGAAGATGACCGAGGAGGAGGAGGAGGAGGAGCAGGAGGGGAATCGAGGAGGATGAGAAGGATCGAAGGGTCGAGGAGGATCGATGTGTAGGGGGAGGATGACGATAGAGGGTCGAGGACCAGGATCGAGGATCGATGAGGGTTGACGAGGAGGATCAATGAGGAGGAGGAGGATGCTCGAGGATCGAGAGTCTAGAACCATCGATGAGCATCGAGAAGGAGGAACGACAATCGAGGAGAGTTGATGATAAGAAGGATAACGATTGAAGATGGATGACTGGAAAATGAGAAGCATGAGGATGACGATGGGCATGATCGCGGATCCAGGATTGAGGATCGGGGGTAAGGGAGGATGATGAGGAGGACGAGGTTCGAGGATCGGTGGTGGGGGTGGGGACAACGGAACGGAGGATGGCCCAGCGACATTGTCCATGCAAATTCAGTGCGAGGGCGGGGTGGGCATTCAGAAGGACTATCTGTCCTGACTGCTTTGAAGAGCGGTGCACGAGGTGTGGATCTCAGCACACCCTACAGATTTGTATGTGGATGCGAGTCTTGGGCTTTAGAGAGCTCAGACTGAGGAACAGCGTGAGATTGCAGTGCAGAGGATGATTCTCGCATTCTGTATTACTTGCGGCTTGGCCGCATTTGTGGTCATGTCCCGTTTCAATGTCGGCTCCCGCGGCCCAATCTCAGTTTCTTCAGTGCTATGGGCAACTGGAGTTACGTGCGAAGAAGAGCGTCGATGAGGATCGGGGAGGATCAGGATCGAGGATCGAGGGGGAAGGGGAATATCACCGATTGAGGGAATCGAAGATCGAGGGTCGAGGAGGAACTAAGAGAATGAGATGAGGGTTGAGGGGCACCATGGTTCCTGTGGCATGGTTCGCTTGCACTCCCCCACCCCCGCAGCGAGCTTCACCGACGGCTTTGGTGGCAGGGTTCGCATGCGTCCCCCGACCACGTCGGCGCACTCCTCACTCGTTTTGTGGCCCCACAAGGAGCGCCACCGAATACTTCTGTGGCAGGGTTCGCATGCGTCCCCCGCCTGTTTCGGCACACCCCTCACACGTTCCGTCGCCCCACATGGAGCTCCACCGAGGGCTTTTGTGGCAGGGTTCGCTTGCGTCCCACCGCCCATTTCGGTACACCCCTCGCACGTTTCCTTGCAGGGAGTTCCACCGAAGGCCCCAGTGGCAGGATTCGCATGCGTCCGCCGTCCATGTTCGACACACCGTTCGCACGTTTCCTGGCTCCACAGGGAGCTCCACCTTCCCTTGTTCCACTTGCCTTGCGGCACTCACGTTTGCATACGGTTGGGCTCTCCGTCGGGATCTGTCTTCTGCTTGTGGCGTAGGTATGTTCGCATTATTGGGCGAGCATAGGCCCGTTTCCACATCACTTGGGCTTTGGAGAAGAGGGCGATACGCAAGAGAAGGAGTAGGAGGAAGAGACATGCGAGGAGCCTCCATTTCTGTTTTTTTTCCCAACCATCCTGTGGTGTTGGGTCCTCGTTTTGAAAGACGTCGCCCCGCGTTCCTCCTTCCTCCTCCTTCCTCCTCATCCCATTCCTCCCCCCTCCTCCCCCTCCCACACCCATTCTGGCACACCCCTCACACGTTTCGTGGCCCCATAGGGGGCTCCACCGAAAGCCCCAGTGGCTGCGCCCGCATGCGGTTCCACCCCCCATTCTGGCACACCCCTCACACGTTTCGTGGCCCCATAGGGAGCTCCACCGAAGGCCCCAGTGGCTGCGCCCGCATGCGGTTCCACCCCCCATTCTGGCACACCCCTCACACGTTTCGTGGCCCCATAGGGAGCTCCACCGAAGGCCCCAGCGCCCCATTCTGGCACACCCCTCACACGTTTCGTGGCCCCATAGGGAGCTCCACCGAAGGCCCCAGTGGCTGCGCCCGCATGCGGTTCCACCCCCCATTCTGGCACACCCCTCACACGTTTCGTGGCCCCATAGGGAGCTCCACCGAAGGCCCCAGTGGCTGCGCCCGCATGCGGTTCCACCCCCCATTCTGGCACACCCCTCACACGTTTCGTGGCCCCATAGGGAGCTCCACCGAAGGCCCCAGTGGCTGCGCCCGCATGCGGTTCCACCCCCCATTCTGGCACACCCCTCACACGTTTCGTGGCCCCATAGGGAGCTCCACCGAAGGCCCCAGTGGCTGCGCCCGCATGCGGTTCCACCCCCCATTCTGGCACACCCCTCACACGTTTCGTGGCCCCATAGGGAGCTCCACCGAAGGCCCCAGTGGCTGCGCCCGCATGCGGTTCCACCCCCCATTCTGGCACACCCCTCACACGTTTCGTGGCCCCATAGGGAGCTCCACCGAAGGCCCCAGTGGCTGCGCCCGCATGCGGTTCCACCCCCCATTCTGGCACACCCCTCACACGTTTCGTGGCCCCATAGGGAGCTCCACCGAAGGCCCCAGTGGCTGCGCCCGCATGCGGTTCCACCCCCCATTCTGGCACACCCCTCACACGTTTCGTGGCCCCATAGGGAGCTCCACCGAAGGCCCCAGTGGCTGCGCCCGCATGCGGTTCCACCCCCCATTCTGGCACACCCCTCACACGTTTCGTGGCCCCATAGGGAGCTCCACCGAAGGCCCCAGTGGCTGCGCCCGCATGCGGTTCCACCCCCATTCTGGCACACCCCTCACACGTTTCGTGGCCCCATAGGGAGCTCCACCGAAGGCCCCAGTGGCTGCGCCCGCATGCGTGGCCCCATTCCACCCCTCCATTCCGGCACACCCCTCACACGTTTCGTGGCCCCATAGGGAGTCCACCGAAGGCCCCAGCTGCGCCCGCATGCGGTTCCACCCCCAGTCTGGCACACCCTCACACGCTTCGTGGCCCCATAGGGAGCTCCACCGAAGGCCCCAGTGGCTGCGCCCGCATGCGGTTCCACCCCATTCTGGCACACCCCTCACACGTTTCGTGGCCCCATAGGGAGCTACACCGAAGGCCCCAGTGGCTGCGCCCGCATGCGGTTCCACCCCCCATTCTGGCACACCCCTCACACGTTTCGTGGCCCCATAGGGAGCTCCACCGAAGGCCCCAGTGGCTGCGCCCGCATGCGGTTCCACCCCCCAGTCTGGCACACCCCTCACACGTTTCGTGGCCCCATAGGGAGCTCCACCGAAGGCCCCGGTGGCTGCGCCCGCATGCGGTTCCACCCCCCATTCTGGCACACCCCTCACACGTTTCGTGGCCCCATAGGGAGCTCCACCGAAGGCCCCAGTGGCTGCGCCCGCATGCGGTTCCACCCCCCATTCTGGCACACCCCTCACACGGTTCGTGGCCCCATAGAGAGCTCCACCGAAGGCCCCAGTGGCTGCGCTCGCATGCGGTTCCACCCCCTTTTTCGGCACGCCCTTCACACGTCTCGTGGCCCCATAGGGAGCTCCACCGAACGCCGCAGTGGCTGCGCTCGCATGCGGTTCCACCCCCCATTTCGGCACACCCCTCACACGTTTCGTGGCTCCATCGGGAGCTCCACCGAAGGCCCCAGTGGCTGCGCTGGCATGCGGTTCCACACCCCATTCTGGCACACCCCTCGCACGCTTCGTGGCCCCAAAGGGGGCTCCACCAAAGGTCCCAGTGGCACTGCCCGCTTGCGTCCGCCACCACCCAGCACAGCCCTTGTTCCCTGCGCTTCACCCACCCAGAACAGCGCTTCGTAGCCCTATCGGGAGCTCCACCAAAGGTCCCAGCGGCACCGCCTGCATGCGTCCGCCACCACCCTGCACAGCCCTTGCTTCCTGCCTGCGTTTCACCCACCCAGTACAGCGCTCCGTGGCCCCATAGGGAGCTCCACCGAAGGTCCCAGTGGCACCGCTCGCATGCGTCCGCCACCACGCAGCACAGCCCTTGCTGACCGCGTCTCACCCACCCAGTACAGCGCTTCGTGGCCCCATAGGGAGCTCCACCGAAGGTCCCAGTGGCACCGCCCGCATGCGTCCGCCACCACCCAGCACAATTG